GTTAAGACACACAAATGCCCATCAAAGATTGTCTAATCGAAGAAAGTTCTCCAGACCGTCTAATCAAAGTGGTTCATACACTTGTATTAATTGCACCTAGAACACTATAAATAAAACCCTACATTTCTCATGAGAGGGAGGAAAACTCGAGGCGTAAGAAAGAACTTGAAACATTGAGAAAAATTTGAAGTCAATGACCACTCCTGTCGTTGTCGACCACCACTGATCATTCTCGACCGTCGCCGACAGCAATAGACCGCCGTCGACCACCACCTATTGTCTCTGATCGTAGTCGACCGCCGCCAACAACCACCTATTGCACTCAACCTTTTCAAGTAGTTTTACGTTTGGGATTGTGAAGCTTAAATATTCATGCTTTGATGAATTTTACAACATAATTCTTTTGTGAGATACTTATATATTGATCACCTAAAATACTTATATTTACCAATTAATCATCCCGACGATTTTTTTGAATAGCCTAACAGGCGTATTTAACGGTTCAACCATCAAATTATTAAAATTTTAATAAAAATGAAAAATATGAATTGGGATTTTAACATAAATTTTGATACTTGAGAGAGAATTTGAATAATGGATGAAAGAGGTTGGTTCATTTGTAAATAACAAGTTTTGGGTGGTATGTAGTTGCTTCTTTTTTGTACATTCATCTTTTGCAAAAAAAATTGTGTTTTTTATTTAACATTTAAAGATTAAATATAACGTTTTTATGCTAATCCCTAAGGAGTTTAATATATATATATATATATATATTATAAATTAAATTAAACTTTCTTTTCTGATACAATTTTAGTCATTGTTTATCTCAAATGTCTTAAAACATCTTTATTATTAACTCAATAAAATTATTCTTAAGCAACAAATACAATTAACATAAATAGCTCCCCAACCCCTAATCCCTCACATCCACAAAAAACACCATCAGATTAAATAAATAAATAAATAAAATGGAGAGCAGCAAAGATTACACGGTGAGGATTTGCCGGAAAGAAACAATCTCAGCCGCACTTCCATTACAGGAGCATTGGCTCTCTCTCTCTAACCTCGACCTTCTCCTTCCTCCGTTGGACGTCGGAGTGTTCTTCATATACGCGAAGCCCCCATTAGAGAGCTCCGCTTCTACCTTCGCTTCTCTGGTCAACGTTCTGAAGGCCTCCCTCGCAAAGTCTTTGGTGACTTACTATCCGTTTGCCGGCGAGGTGGTGAGCAATTCCATGGGAGAGCCGGAGCTGCTTTGTAATAATCGCGGTGTGGAGTTCATTGAAGCGTTTGCGGACGTTGAGATTGCAGAGCTTGATTTTCATAACGCGGATCGGAGCTTTGAGGGGAAGCTTGTGCCCAGGAAGAAGGGCGGCGTGCTCACCGTTCAGGTACGTGGGGCAGCAAAAAAAAAAAAAAAAAAAACAATTTTTATTTATTTATATATCCATCACCTAAATCTTTTATATCACATTAAATTATCACAATTTTAATTTTTAAAATGTAAAATAGATGATTTATAAGTAAAAGTAAAAGTTTATGCGGTAGTTGTGTAAATACATAGGAATTAACTGGTATGCATGTAAATCTTCTTTTTTTCTTTTTATTCTTGAGAAGAAATTCTTAAATGAGGTTTTGAGGGGCTTTTCGCTTAATTCTTTTAAAATTTGTTTTACATAGGACTACGAACGATACTATTTTGAGCTGAGTTGGGGTTTAAAATCGGTTCGTGGTTCGTTATAATTGAGTTCGAGTCAACTCCTATTAGAATTTAAGCGAGTTCGAGCCGACTCAAATTGAATTATTTGGGTCAGTTTCAACACAAAAATCACAAGCAAAATGAATTGATTGATTGAGTTTAAAATGATTGAATATAAATATAACATTTTAGCTAATTTATTTGCAAACGCACACAAATCTTATATGAAAGTCTTTCAATTTGGAGCCTCTTGATTAAAAAAACCTAAGCTCTCAATCAATGAAGTCAACTTTTATCAATTATTGCACTTTTAAATTTTAAATTTTCAAATTGTAAGAAACTAATTCTCATTAGGCGTGAATGGGTGTTAAATATAATTTTAAAAATTTTGTTTAAGGGAGCTAAATATTCATAAAGATTAGCTGCAAAATGGTGTTAAGAAAAGCCACTTTACTGAAATTATTATCATGTTCAAGCAGATTTAGATATAGTTGTTAAAGATATTTAGCTTTTCTCATAAAACTTATTAAAATATTTTAAAATTAAGAAAATAATAGTATGATTGTTACGGTTTCATGAAAGTTGAAAAATTAGAAAAGCTAATCCAAACGGATTTTTAACATCATAGCCTGTCCAATCACATGCCGCCACTCATATATAAGATGCATTTATGCAAATACCACACAATTCTTATGTATTTATATATCTCACAACTAAACTTTCATATTTATACACATAACCCTCAAATCTTTAACATCAAGTCAAAAAAGTATTATTACTATTTTTTAAAAGTCAAATATATTTTTTCATGCATGATTTAGGGTTTGTTTGGGGCAGCTGCAGCTTATTGAATAATATGTTGATAAGCCGATTAAAAATAATAGCGATGACTATTATAAATTTTTATTTATTTTGAAAAAATCAGACCGTTGCCAGAAAGTTCCCACCGCACTTAGATATGTGCAGTGTGAAAACGCTGTTTTCGGCGTTTTAAAAACGCATAAGCTGTTAAAAAGCAGTTTACCCAAACAGGCTAAGTCCGTTTTCAAAACGCCATCGCACCAAATAAGCTGCCCCAAACGGACCCTTAGAACACCAAAGTATTATACATGTAAATATAAAAATTAAGTGTGAGATATAAAAATATATAATAATCTGATGGTCAAAAAGTTGCACCAAATCATGACTGAGTGAAAAAACACAAATTTCAGTAAAAGATTTTTTTGAAAAATTCTAAGCATAAAAAGTTACGGTCGCCGCGCCCAAAAAAGAAATTTTTTTTAATATTTTCGCTCACTTCATCTTCTACCAGCGTCGCCATCAATTTTAACTTTCAACTAGAGAATGGTTTGAAAAAGGAATCTTTTTTAAAGTGGAGCATGATTAGAGTCAAAGGTTGTTTGGAATCTGAATCTTATAATCTGAAAGAGAATTGTCTACCAAGGACAGGACTTGCTCATAATTGGATAACGTTGTATGTTTAATTAATGCTTTCTATAAATTTCAAGAGAGATGAGAAAAAATAATAATGAATAACTATTTAACTCACATTTTAAAAGAGGCATTTACAAACTTACCGCATAATTCTTATGTATTTGCATATTTAACACCTACCCTTTAAAAGTTGTATTTCAACTTTAATGTGACATTCAAAAAATTTAAATGTCCTGCATGTAAATATTACTGTTTAGGGGTATATGTAAATATTTATATATAAGAATTATGTGATATGCATATATTATAACAATTTTTATATATTTATTTATCGCACACTGAAATATTCATATTTACTCATATATAATACTCAAATATTTAATGTAAATTTGAAAATTTTGTAAATATACAAGAATTGTGTGTTATGTATGGAAATGACCCGACATAAAAAAGCTGTGTAGTCCATGGAGTGGATTGTACCACTTCAAGAGGGAAAATATTTGTGTACATAAGATGTACGCAGCTCTACGTACATCAAATGTTATTCAGAGGGTACGGTTGGGTTATATATGAGTTATACCCCTTGTAACCTCCGGTATAACCCAAATATAACTCCCCTGTACCCCTAGAATAACCTCTGATGTATACTGAAGATGTACGCAAATATAAGACACATGATACAATATGATCCGCATCATCACCCTCACATAAATCTGAATGTGTCTTTGATAATGTGAATAGAATAACCTCTGATGTACGCAATGCTGCGTACATCTTATGTACGCAAATATAAGACACACGATACAGTATGATCCGCATCATCATTCTCACATAAATCTGAATGTGTCTTTGATAATGTGAATCACACCATGCCTTATGATATGATAAACTCTCTATTTGCTGCACATGCAACCAGCATAATATTTTATCGTTAACAGTACCAACAATATTTTTACAAATCAAACTAATTTTCACCTTTTGAATGGGCAGGCGACAGAGATGAAGTGTGGTGGAATGGTATTGGGCTGCACCTTCGACCATCGCATATCAGATGCATACTCCTTCAACATGTTCCTTGTCAGCTGGTCGGAGATCTCTTCCGGCAAACAAATCTCAACCATCCCCTCCTTCCGCCGCTCGCTTCTCAGCCCTCGTCGTCCCGGACATTTCGATGCTTCATTCAACCGATTCTACATCCCCTCTTCTCAGCTTCCACCGCTCACAAAATCTTCAGAAAGCATTAATCGCATTTACTACATCACCGCGGCAAACATCGATCGAATACAAGAAATGGTAACCGATGGGGGGCCGCGGAGGACGAAGCTGGAGGCATTCACGGCTTATTTGTGGAAATTAGCAGGGCGGCAAGCAGGTAAGCATGTAAGCCATATGGGATTGGTGGTTGATGGGCGTAAACGATTAGGTTTGGCAATGGATGCTTATTTCGGGAATGTGTTGTCGATTCCTTATGCGTCGATGGAGGTGGGGGAGATGGAGGTGAAGGAGATCGGCGAAGTGGTGCATGGTGTGGTTGAGGCGGCGGCGAGGGAAGAGCATTTCAGAGGATTGGTGGATTGGGTGGAGGTCAGGAGGCCGGAGGCGGCGGTGGCTAGGGTTTATGTGGAGGAAGGGATGTCGGTAGTGGTGTCGTCGGGAAGGGGGTTTCCGGTGGGGGAGTTGGAGTTTGGTTGGGGGAAGGCTTTGTTCGGATCGTACCATTTTCCATGGAAGGGGAATGCAGGGTATGTGATGCCGATGATGAGTGGGAGGGGAGATGGGGATTGGGTGGTTTATGCACATCTGTGCAGAGAGATTGTGGAAATTATAGAAGACAACTCAGATGGGTTTTTTGAGCCGCTTACTGTTGACTATTTGGGGATTAAAGGAAATGTTAACAGATTGGGGGAGAAGATTATTGGGTTTATGTTAAATTGAGATATTATGTTTCTGTCCGGTGGTTTTATGTCAGATGTAAGTTGCAACTTGTGTTATCTATCAGTCTCATGAAGCTTATAACTTTGATGTGTTTGTTTCTTTTTGGTTTGGGCTTTCAAGTGTTGAACGTGTTTGAAATGTAATTTTTAAAACTTTTTTTTTTAAATGATGCATATAGCATTAATTAAAGCAAAGAATACAAAACGTATGCCACCGAGAATGTCCAAAATGGCGTTATATTCTTTGGTCAAAGCAAAATGAGAGCGACTATAGTTGTGCATGTACTGATAACATAGTTGTTGAGGGTGTCGTTTTCCACCATTACGTCACGGATTCGAATCGTGCATATTGCACATTGCTTCCTTAGGGTCAGTAAGATGCTTAATGTGTTGCATCGCTCTCAACTCACCCTTGGCACTATCTCAATTTGTAACTTGCTCGTCACGAATAATAATTCCAATGCTAGCAAAGTAGGGCGCATCAATATTTTGCTTCATCCATCCAAAAGATGTGGGGGACACCAAAAAGGGGAGGAGACAGCCAAAGGGCTAATTAGTGTCTCTATGCTTCTTACTATGAACAATCAATTCTCATGTATTTGCATATCTGCACCTAAATTTTTTTTTTCTGCGTTTATACCATCTAAGCCTTTGTATTACATAACAAAATATTGTTATTTTAAATTTTAAAATTTGCAATGCATCCTTTCATGCATAGATTATAAGGTGGTACAAATGTAAGAAGTTGAAGTTTAGGCCTTAGATTTATAAATACATAAGCATTGAGTGCGCATAAATCTTTTTTAGTTTCATCATTTTTTTTATGAAACTCTCTTCTTATGTACCCATTGGCTTATTTTTTGGTTGGACTTGCTTAAGCTAGTTCATGCTCATGAGGCTAGCAATAGCTAAAAATAACATAATAATGTAAGGGTGCGTTAGGGGCAGCTTTTGTGACACTAAAATGCAAAAACTCATGTTTGGCAATTGTGGTGCGGTGGCAATGTGGGATAATCTTATGTAAACTTGGGCCGAGGGCTAGAACCCGCGGCCCGCATTTTGATCACGTGATTTCCTTCATGTGCCATCGGTTTCGTCTGCGTGCCCGCGGTTATCTTCACTGTAGTGCTTGGCGCATCCATGCCCTAGCCCCCCTCTCTTCTAACTCCGGTTGACGGTCTCTGATGACACTCTCATCTCCTTCCTCCCCTCGTCGGTTCCGAGCCCATTTTCTCTTCCGTCCTTTGGTATTGCTTACCTCCCCTCGTTCTGCGAGGAACGTGGTTGATGTTGGGCTGCCGTTTTTGGCTTTTCCTATTGTAGCTTGGTTTTTACGAGTCATTCTATGTGCTTATGTTTGTGATTGTCGTTTGTGGCTTGGTATCTTATGGTTTATGGCATAGCTCTATGATTTCCTCTTGTGGCCTGGATTTTGCAGTTCCTATGGAGAAGTTAATGAAAACATTTGGGAGAGAAGTTCATGGAAAATTTTGTCGTTTGTGGCTTGGATTTTTTTGGTTTACCGCTTACCTCTGTGATTGCCTTTTGTTGCTTGATTTTTTGCGGATCCTATGTAGGAATTGATGAAAGCATATGAGAGAGAAGTTCATGAAATTTTTTTCACTTTTTCTGACTTTATTTTTTTTTATCACAGATCTAAGCAATAAACCTAACAAAACAAAGCCAAAAATAATAATAATTAGTCATGAATTTTTTGCTCAAATGCTTTCATCAATTTCTCTATAACATTAAAAAAACTATCCGATAAAAGGCAATCACTTGGCTAAGTCATAAACTCTTTTGTAAGTTAGTTTTGTGGATCATATGAAGAAATTGATGAAAGTATTTAAGGGAGAAATTCTTCACTTTTATGTGGCTTGGTTTTTTTGCTTTATCTCTTAACTCTGTCAATGCCTTTTATGGGTTGGTTTTATAGATTTCTATAGATAATTTGATAAAAGAATTTGAGAGGGAAATTCATGACAATTTTTGTCGTTTGTGGCTTGGTTAGGAGTTCACTCTATGGAATCATTGAAAAAAAGGAGGAAATGGTGGTTGTGTGCTGGTGTCCTGTGCTAGCTCTATGTGTGTTGGCTATATAAGCTTTTGGTGGTTGTGCTGGCGGCGACGGCTGCGGTGTTGGTTGGTGTCATATGTAATGAGAAGTTTAGCCTAATAAGCTCTTCTGCATGGTCTGTATGTCGCTATTTGTTGGTGTCACATGTGAAATCCTAAAAAAGGAAACCAAGATCCTCTCTTTTTTTCCTGCTGTGTTTTTTGAAGTTCTTCTGCATGACTTTTTTTGATGATATGGATATATGACATAGAAGAACTTAGTATTACGTGAGTCGAAGGCAGGCAACCAAGAACCTTTTTTGTTTTATAAGGCGTGTTGTTTTCTTGTAATGACAGATTCATTGATTCACTTACTGAGTTCTCTGAGACCTCATTGCTGCATAAAACTTTAACCAATTAATTATGTTATTAATTTTTACTAGTGTTATGTTTAAGGGTTTGAGGAAGGATGAGCTCGAGGATTTCTGGTACCTCTAGAGGATTGTACTGTTACTGTGAACTTCAGTGTTCCATGCTCACTTCACGTCAGCCACATAGCTACGAGATACATATTTACAAGTGCCCATGGAGAATCATAGAAAACTGTGACTATTTTTCGGCGGGCAGATGAGTTGGAAGATTCATCGAGAATGATCGGGCGTGGAGAGTATCATTGAAGAACGATTTATCTCGTGGCATAAGACATCTGAATTTTAAAAATAATATTATCATATTATTAATTGTTATTGTAAGAGTCGTTTTCTTAATTTTGATAGTCATGTTGCTCACTGTTGGTGAGGTGTCTATCTTTTTTTTTGTAATGTTCTGCACTGAATATTTGCTCTCAAGTGTGAAATGTAATGATATGAACAGTTCTGTTGCAAACATAATTACTATAATTAGCAGAATGATCATTTGTTCAGAACAGCTGCAGCACAACTATTTTTGAATTTCAAAAGACAAACAAACAACCAATTTATCTGCACCAATTTTTGTACTGCAGCTTATTATTTAGTTACAGCTGCCCCAAACAGACCCTAAATTATGCAGGAATTTAACCTAAATCCTAATATTCTAATGCATTTACATAATAATAAAACATCTTTAAATGCTTCAGGCTCTTAAATATTGTAGGATTTAACACAAATCATGCTGGATTTAACCTAAATCTAGCATAATCCTGCATGGTTCAACCTAAATCCTACCAAATAACAAAAATATTGTCTTTAACTCCTAATGTTTCCTTAATTCTTTTGATTTAGGTTAAATCTTTAGGGATTGAAACATAATTTAACCTAAATATTACCAGAAAAGAAAATTGTCATATTTAAACCCTACATGATCTAATACCTTGCCAAACAACAAAAATAACATCTTTCAATTCTACAAGTTTACCCAAATCCCACCAAATCACGAAAATGACATCTTTAAATCTTACAGGTTCTTAAATCCCATTTCTCATCCGTTTTGCCTTAAATTCATAACATAGTAAATCATATTTGAAGGCTGATTACTTTGATTTAGAGAAATGAAGCAAATGAATGTGATGGGATGGGATGGAAGGGGGAGAAAGATGAAAGTTGCCTTTACCTTGTCATTCTCAATAGAGGGAGATCACATGCCACAAGCACCGAAGATTCGTCATAGTTGAGTGAAACAACCCTATGAGAAGGGATAAAATTAGATTTCTAACTCTGTTCCAATATAATATAGAATTTCAACTAAGCATCAATGACAATCTCAATTTAAAAGGCTTCTCCCAAGAATTTCAGCTGCTAAGTCTGGCAATTTTTAATACTCCATGAACTAGTTGAAAATCCGTCTATTTTTCAGCATATTTCATCTAATCTGGGATTTAATCAAGTATTTCCTGTTGCTTTTCGAATGATAAGTTGCCCAAAATAGCTTAACTAAAACCCAGTTGAACAGTTCATCAGTGTTTTAGCTATAAAATGTATGACGACGGTTCAACGAATAATCAGTCTGAAATAACCAGGCGTCGATTTTCCTGTCGTTTTTGATACAGATATACCACAATAAAAGCTTTTGTATTGAAGTGTTCCAAATATTATTAACTATCATTAAATAGATTATGATTCAACGAGTTTCTGTGAAGTCATTATTTTCTATGGTAGGAAGGTTGTGAGATTATTAGTCACTTATAATCTAAAGTATTTTTGCATGTTATAATGAAATAAAGTATAATATATTGGATGAAATACTTCTTTTTTATTGATCGAAGAGGAGAGTTAGAGCATCCATAGCTGAGACATGATTATTATATGCATGAAATTTGAAGGAGATACAAATGCAACCAAACATTTGTCTTCAAGGAAAGCAATGCAGCCTATGGTTAATGCATTAAATGGCAATATAATAATATTTCTTATTGCTTTGACACTCTTTTAGTTCCCATGCTTCCCACACGTTTTGCTCTCTCGATGATAGTTGAAAATTTCAATTAGTTTTTTCCTGTCAATTAGTTTTAATTAAAAATATGATCTAATGTCATCCTTAAATATTTGCTTACAACTTAACAAATAAAATGCTTAAATATACAAGAATGGCTTGTATGAGACTTTGGGATTGATGCGTGCTAGAAGATTCGCAGCAGTAGAGTAGTGCATTATTGTCTCAGCGTTGCACGAAGATTCAATACACACTCGGATAAAATAAAACAATCAGTATAGACACCAAAAGTTTTTGCGTGGAGAACTCATAAAAGAAAAAAATCACGGAGACTGACCCTATTGTAAAGATCCACAATAAGCTGATGATTATAGAGATCCCTTGTCTCATAGGCGGGAAAATGATACAAAGTCTTCTGAATTACAACTTTGATGCGTGAACAATCTTGTCGCAAAGAAGAGGTGGCGACCATGATGATCAGCGAGGGTCGGCGAGTGGTGGGCTATCTTGGTCGGTGGTGGTCGACGGTGACAGGAGTGGTGCTGGACTTCAGCTTCTTCTCAAAGTTTCAATCTCTTCCTCAAGCCTCAAACTCTTCTCTAGGCGTCAAGCTCTCCTCCCTCTTCATGAGATGGATGAAGCTCAATTTATAGAATTTTGAGTGCAATTAATGCAGAAATATAAAACACTTTGATTAGATCGCTCAGACGACTTCCCTCGATTAGACAACGATCGATGGACTTTTGAGTGT